TCTTCCATGAATCCTTGGACAAATTTCATGACCCCTCCCCCCAGTCTCTTTTTCCTTATCTTAAAAAAGTACAACAATAATAAAGTGGAACCTCCCTCACAGAGCAGCTGAGACCCAGCAGGAAGAGCGTTTGGCGCCTTGTCTGGGAATTAGACAGCACTCCATCAGTGTCAGCTAAGACCAGACAGGGCTTAGGGTGCATATCTGGATGGTAAAAGTTCTTGCAAAGCAGGAAAGTGAGTCAGGGTGGGGGTCACCTTTGGGGAGGTGATTGGGGTACTGAGGTCTGCATCATAAACATTCATCAAGCTATAAAATGTGTATAGCTCTTCATTTAACAAAGAAAGAGGTTTAAACAAAAAGAGAAGTGGAGAAAAAGAGGAGAAACAAAGCCTGCCCACAACAATGCTCTGCGGGGCTTGGGAGCTCCAGACACAAAGTGGCCTCCTGTGGATTCCACTGCTTGTGGGGCCAAGGGCCTGAGGGCGGTGATCCAGGAGGCAGAGAGGAGGCCCTGGGGCCCAGGAGAAGCTGAGGACCTGTCCCCTGAGTGGAGCCCTGGGAGAGGGATCCTGGAACCCACAGCCATCACCACTCTTGTCAGGGGACGGGCAGCCCCTCTGGTCCAAGGCCCTGGGCTGAGGGTGCTCCTGGCACACGCCTCACAGAGACCTCCCTGTACCCATCTTCACCGCTCTGTATGCTTCCCACTGCCTCCTTCTGTCTTCTCTGACAGCCTGTCTGTCTCTCTCTCTGTGCCCCTTCTCTTCTTGCCAGGGCTGAAGCCACAGATCTGCCTGAGTCTGGGGGCAACAGCATCACATCCCCACCCCACATGCTCAGGGAGGCCCTGGGCACCGGTCTGACGACCAGGAGTTTCCTTCTTAACCAGTCAGCAGCGAGGGGTGTCCAGGGAGGGCCGAACAGGCCTCAGGCTGGGATGAGCCCCAGAGAGGCACGGCCACACTCCTGGCAAGCATCCTGGAGCCGCTCAGACAGCAGCAGGCAGACCTCTGGGGGACCCTGCCCCGTGGAGAAGGAGCAGCAGTGAATTCTAAATAAGGGAGAGACAGGAAGGAGGGGCCCAGGCAGTGCTGGCAGGGGTTCCCAGGAGAGTAGACGGGACCTCTAGGCCTGGCCAGTTCACCCACATCTGGGCACCAGCAGCCAAGGGGGCCCGCTGCCCTGGGCGCCAAGCAGAGGGGACGTTAGATCTGCTCCTGCCTCAGCCTGAAAACCTTGCCACTTCACAGCTCAGCACGGGTGAAGTGAGCACAGCAAGCCCGGCACAGCACTGGGCATACAGATGACGCTGAATACCTGTGTATGTTTGTATATGTGTTTTCTAACTCACAGAGCTTGTGCAAGCACCACAGTTTCCTCTAAGAATAATTCAGCAACGTGATTGTTATCTAAGCTTTCCATTTGGGAAACATTTGCCTCTGCTTCCATCAAAATCCCAGCCCCAAAGCGCCCACCTGCCTGGTGCCAGTGAGGCCCTGCTCAAACCCTGAGCCTGCTGGAACAGCAGCTGGGTGAGTCAGTGACCTGGGGCACCGGGAGGTGGGCTGGCCCTGCAGGGGATGGCTGTCCCCTTACCCTTGGGAGGTAAAGAGGTAGGCTCGAGCCTGACCTGCCACGGTACCCACTCAGGGAGCAGCAGTGTCTCAGAAACCCCAAACAACAGCCCAGAGAGGCCTCACGCCCTCAGCCGTCTTATAGGATGACTCGGAGAAGGAGCTAGTAGCCAGTCCCTTGCAGCCACCCAACAAGCAAACACGTGGCCTCAACCCTGGGCTCCTCCACAGAATTCACTCCACCCTGACAAGCCTCAAGGAGCCAGATCTTTCTAAACTGGCCCTCTCAAAGTCACATTCAGAGTCCTGAGCTGGCAGACTGCTGGAAGGGGTGGTCAGCTGTGCAGACTCAGCCCCAAAGGAAGGCGCAGGTGCTAAGCCACAGGTGTAGGGACTGGTAAAGGGAGTGAGGGTAGCTCAGACAACCTGCTTCTCCTCGCAGTCCATGAGGAGAGCCTGTCTACAACTCTCCTGGAGCCTGAGCCCCACTCTTCACACTGAGGAAGGCTCATGTGGGGAACGGGGCCCAGGGTCTCCAGGTACCACAGGTGAGCACCTCCTAGGACCTCTAACACATGCCTTCAGTGTTGCATGCACCAAGGAAGTGTTCTCAGCCCGAGGTGAGGGGGTGCATCCTTAGTCCTGCGTCCCTTCGTACTAGTCTCTCTAGGCGGGTGAAGTCTCCGCCCAGCGCTTCTCAACTTTCACGTTGCTAAACGGCATGTTCTGATTCAGCAGGTCGTGAGAGATACCCAAGGCCGCTGGACCGCAACCACGCGCGCGCGAGCAGCAAGGACTGGAGTCTGTTCTAGACCTCTCTCTCTGACTCCTCCTTCCCTGTCCCTGAGCATGCAAAGAGGCCTGCCTCCTGCAGTGGAAAGAGACTCAGCTGCCTGGGGGCTCTCTCATTAACTTGCTGTGGGACTTACAGCAAGTCACTGTCGCTTTCTGGGCCTCAGAGTCTCCCTCTGGAAACGAGCCTGGATGCTCTCTGAGGCCCTCCTCAGCTCTGGCAGTCTGGGATGATACCGTGCAGGCTTCTTTGACTTAGGAGATGAGGCCTGGTCTCCACTGTTGTTTCACATCCTCCTGGGCACTGACTGCCTTCCCGTTGAAAACAAGCCCCCAGGCCACCCCCCAAAGGGTCTTCATGAGCCCCCAATAGCAGCCACCCAGGCAACCCAGCCAATGCTTTATGGAGACTCTATTCCCTCCCTGCCTGAGTGAAAGATAGAAACCCACAGAAAATGAGGCTTGAAGAGCCTCAGAACTTTCCTAGTTGGCAAAAGAGAAACTGGACCCTCCAAAGACACCTGTGAGCAAGCGGCAGGGCCAGGAAGAGACCAGCTGCTGGCTGGAAGGGCGGGCTCTGATGTGGGCAGGCTGGACTCGAGCCACTAGCCCAGGTGAGGCTTGTTCTTGGAAAGCAAACCTTGGAGAGCAGATGAAATGACAAGCTACACAGTGGGAGGAAATTCTGCCAATCATGCGTCTGATAAAGGATTGTAGCCAGAATATACACAGAACTCTCAAAACTCAACAGTAAGAAAACAAAAATCTCAACCTTAAAAAGGGCTAAGGACTTGAATTGACAGTTCACTAAAGAACGTGCACGGATGGCGAATAAGCGCCTGAAAAGATGTCCAACGTGGCTAATCATTAGGGAAACGAAAACGGAGGCCACACGAGCTATCTCCCAGCTGGTGAAACTGCGAAACCGCAGGCTGCTAGCAAACTCGCAAGGGGCTCAGCTTCTGCTTCACGCTGCTAAGGATGCAAAATGGTGCAGCCACTCTGGAAAACAGCTTGGCAGTTTCTGATAAAGTTAAACGTACTCCTACCATATGGCCCAGCAACCTACTCCTAGATATGGTATTACCCTAGAGAAATGAAAATATATATTCCCAGAAAGACCTATGCGCAATGTTCATAGCAGCTTTATTTGTAATAGCCCCAAACTGGAAACAAACCAAACGTCCTTCAGTAGGAGCCTGGACAAACAATATGGTACAGACGTCCTATGGGATACTACAGAACAATGAAAAGAAATCAGCTACCGATACACACAACCACTCGGCTGAATCTCAAAGGCATCGTGCAATCTAAAAGGAGCCAGCCTTAAAGGATCCCGTACTGTATGACTCCACTTACACGATGTTCTTGAAAGACAAGACACCGCTGTAGTGAGAGAACAGACCAGTGCTTACCAGAGGCGTGGGACGGGGGGGGGTGAGACTGTAAAGTGGTGTCATGTGGGAGTGCTGAGGTGATGGAGCTGTTCGGTGTCCTGATTGCAGCCCTGGTTACACAAATCTATGCCTGTGTTAAATTCATAGAACAGTGCACTTTGAAAAGTCAATTTATTGTATGCTAAATATAAAACTAAAGGAAATATTTGTTTCAATACTGGATGATCCCACTTATATGAAATATCTAGAATTGGCAATTATATGGATGCCAAAGTATATTAGAGGTTACCAGGGGTGGGAGGAGAGGGAAAAGAACGAGTCATAGCCTAGGGGGCACTGAGTTTCTGTTACGAGTGGTGGAAGAATTTGGGTAGTGGTGATGGTTGCACACATTAACGAATGTAGTTAATGTCACTGAAATGTCTGTGCAAAAAATGTCGAAATGACAGATGTTTTGTTATGTATATTTGCACTACAATTTTTAAAAAAGGATTAACATAGTCAAAAAAAGAAATGTTTGCCTCATTATCTTCAAATGATTGTAGTGGAGTGCACTATTGATTCCCTAAGAGTGCACGATATTGCATGGACTCCAGTTGATGGACCTGCCACCTGGTCCAGCTCATCAGGGGAGCACACATTTCCTCAATGCTAGGTTCTCAGAACTGTTGATTTCCTAGGAAAAAACCAGGAATGCAGAGCCAGAGGAGGAGAGGCTGGCATGTGGCTGGCTGGCACTGGCCCAGGAGTCCACAGGGAGCCCACGGGGAGCCCACAGGTAGCCCGCCAAGGAGCCTACAGAGAGCCCACGGGGAGCCCAACAAGCCCAGTGCAGGCAGCAGGTAGGGCGCGCTCCAGCCAAGGGGGTGAACATTGGGCCCTGCTCCACGCATTCTCCCCATTGTGCAATTCCAAAATGGATGAGGAGCCGGGCTGCAGATACAGGGGTGACCTCCTGGGTGGCTGGGCCCCTATCTCACTCCACTTGTGGTCAAGCTATGGCCAACGCCCCCGCAAAGGGGAGTGAGGGTGGCAGGAGTGATAACCCCTTACTCCACCAATCCCACCAGGCCTGACTGCCCATTATCACAGGATCTGATAAGAGACCTCACCTCCAAAGCCCCCTCCCCTCTGCCAGGATCTTGGCTAGGCCCTCAGCTCCATAAAAGGGGCCCTGGGGGCTGAGCAGCACCGAGGCCAGTCCTGAGCTCCACCAGCTCCTGAGCAGCCGCCACCATGTCTCTGACCAAGGCCGAGAGGACCATCATCATAACCATGTGGAGTAAGGTCTCCACACAGGCCGACAGCATTGGCACCGAGGCCCTGGAGAGGTGAGCACACCACAGGGCATGGGACCGGGCTGGGGGGTGGGGGCAGTGAGGAAGGGGTCAGTGAGGAGGGGTCAGTGAGGAGGGTCAGTGAGGTGGTCAGTGAGGAGGGGTCAGTGAGGAGGGGTCAGTAAGGAGGGGGTCAGTGAGGAGGGGGTCAGTGAGGAGGGTCAGTGAGGAGGGGTCAGTAAGGAGGGGTCAGTGAAGAGGGTCAGTGAGAAGGGTCAGTAAGGAGGGGTCAGTGAGGTGGTCAGTGAGGAGGGTCAGTGAGAAGGGTCAGTAAGGAGGGGTCAGTGAGGAGGGTCGGTGAGGTGGTCAGTGAGGAGGGTCAGTAATGAGGGGTAAGTGAGGAGGGGTCAGTGAGGAGGGTCAGTAATGAGAGGTCAGTGAGGAGGGTCAGTAATGAGGGGTCAGGGAGGAGGGTCGATGAGGAGGGTCAGTGAGGAGGGTCAGTGAGGAAGGGTCAGTGAGAAGGGTCAGTGAGGAGGGTCAGCGAGAAGGGGTCAGTGAGGAGGGTCAGTGAGGAGGGTCAGTGAGGAGGGCGTGAGTGAGGATGAGTGGTGGGAAGGAGCAGGCATGGGGTCAGTGAGGACAGGGAGGTAGGTCAGGAGGGGATGCTAAAGGTATGGACTGTGTCTCTCAGTGCCCAGCCTTGCCCAGCACTGGGTTTCCACAAACACCTGTTGAATGAATGAATGAATGAACGATGGGGCAGTGTCATACTGGAGCCTGGACAACAGAAAAAAGCAGCAATACTGATCCGTATTTAAAATTTTAATGTTTTGTTCATCATGGACTTTTTGTATTAATTGATTTTTTAACAGTGCGTTAAATATAATTTATCTTGACTACTGGGTTTTGGGCGCCCCTTACGCTTTGGCCAGAGAGCCTTGCTCACGCCCCGGTCCCCCAGGCTCTTCGCCAGCTACCCCCAGACCAAGACCTACTTCCCGCACTTCGACCTGCACCCGGGCTCGGCGCAGCTGCGCACGCACGGCTCCAAGGTGGTGGCCGCCGTGGGCGACGCGGTCAAGAGCGTCGACAACATCTCGGGCGCGCTGTCCAAGCTGAGCGAGCTGCACGCCTACATCCTGCGCGTGGACCCGGTCAACTTCAAGGTGGGCGCGGGCGGAGCGGGCCGGGATGGGCGGGGACACGGGGCGGGGACGGGGGCGGGGCGGGGGCTCGGACAGGGCCGCCCCCGCCCGGCACTGAGCCGTCCCCGCCTCCAGCTCCTGTCGCACTGCCTGCTGGTGACCGTGGCCACGCGCTTCCCCGCCGACTTCACGGCCGAGGCCCACGCCGCCTGGGACAAGTTCCTGTCCATCGTGTCTTCCGTCCCCCCCGCGAAGACAGGCCGCGGCCCTTCCCAGCCTCAGGCCCCTCATGTCGCCCCCGACGCGCCAATAAACGAATCAACGTCCACCTGGTCTCTGTGGTCACTAGGCCGCGGGGAGGGGGGCGCTGCCTTGGGGTCACTGGGTGGGCTGTAGGGATCCTTCGCACCAATCTCAAGGTCTCTCGGAGGTCAGAGGGTCTGGGCCCGGGGCCTGGGTTACTTGGACCAGGTCGGGTGGCAGAGGGGCTTCTGGGCCCTTCCTCCTCCGGGGGGCAGGGCTGGGCCCCACCCAGCCCCTCAGAAGCAGTCCCCCCTGGGTCGCGGAGGTGTTCTGTCTTCCCTGAATTTATACCATTTCCTGGTTACCCCTGATCTGAGCTCCTTCATCCCCTCCTGGAACAAAGAGGGGAGTGATGGATGTACTCATTCCTAGATTAAACGAACATTTATTGAGCGAAAAAGAGGGTCCAAGCACCAGGGCTATGGATACAGCAGCTAAAATAAGCAAAGCCTCCTGACCCCAGGAAGACCACGATTAGCGGGGAGACTGGCAAGATATCAGAGTTCACAGAAATAAAGAAGGAAAGTGTTCCTTAAGGGACATGCAAATTAACAGCAAACTAAAAACCCACTGGGGCCAATTTCTTACCTACCTGATGGGCAAAAATTTATGAGTCTGACTACTCTGGGTGCAGCTGAGAAAGAGGCCTCCCCTGTATGGGGGGTGGGGCAGGACACGGGGCGGAGAAGCCGGGGCAGGACATAGATGCAAAATGACTTGGGGCTCCTTTATTTGTAAGACACTGGAAAACCTAAATGTGCATCACAGGTGACTATATATAGCAGGCTACTTTTTGTGTAAGAAAAGAGGGGAAATAAGAATATATATATAATACACATGTACAAATATATGTGTATATATAAATAGTTGTTGTTAGGTGCTGACGAGTCAGTTCCAACTCATAGCGACCCTATGTACACCAGAATGAAACACTGCCTAGTCCTGCGCCATCCTGACAATCATTGCTATGTTTGAGCCCATTGTTGAGTCAATCCATCTCGTTGAGAGTCTTCCTCTTTTTTGCTGACCCTCTACTTTACCAGGCATGATGTCCTTCTCCAGGGATTGGGCCCTCCTCATAACACGTCCAAAGTATATGAGATGAAGTCTTGCCATCCTTGCTTCTAATGAGCATTCTGGCTATAGTTCTTCCAAGACAGATTTGTTCATTCTTTTGGCAGTCCATGGTATATTCAATATTCTTTGCCAACACCATAATTCAAAGACGCCAATTCTTCTTTAGTCTGCCTTATTGATTGTCTAGCTTTTGCATGCATATGAGGCAATCGAAAACACCATGGATTCGGTCAGGAGCACCTTGGTCTGCAACACTTTTTAACACTTTAAAGAGGTCTGTCTTTTACCGCGAATTGGCCCTATGCGATGCGTTGTTTGATTTCTTGCCTGCTGCTTCCATGGGTGTTGACTGTGGATCCAAGTAAAACGAAATCCTTGACAACTTCGGTCTTTTCTCCATTTATCATGATGTTGCTTATTGGTCCAGTTGTGAGGATTTCTGTTTTCTTTATGTTGAGGTGTAATCCATACTGAAGGCTGTGGTCTTTGATCTTCATCAGTAAGTGCTTCAACTCCTCTTCACTTTCAGCAAGCAAGGTTGTGTCATAATGTAGGTCGTTAATGAGTCTTCCTCCAATCCTGATGCCGCATTCTTCTTCATATAATCCAGCTTCTGTGGATTATTTGCTCAGCATACAGAGTGAAGAAGTATGGTGAAAGGATACAGCCTGTATGTCTGATAGATCTTGGCTGAAAGCAAAGAATACCAGAAAGATGTTCACCTGCATTTCATTGACTATGCAAAGGCATTCGACTGTGTGGATCATAACAAATTATGGACAATATTGCAAAGAACGGGAATTCCGAACAATTAATTGTGCTCATGAGGAACATGTTCATAGATCAAGAGGTAGTTGTTTGAACATAACAAGGGGATGCCGTGTGGTTTAACATCAGGAAAGGTACTATGCAATCTGTATGCTGAGCAATATACATATATATACACACACATACTTGTTTTTACAAAAAGTAACAATGAGAGGACAGAGTGGAAATGAATACAAACTATCCATCCATAGTGTGAAATAGGGATATAGAGGAAGAATGGAGGAAGGCTTCTTCAAGTATACATCTCTACATAGTTTTGATCTTTGAATCATTTAAATATTTTACATACTGAAAAATAAAGTTAAAAAGAGCAAAATCCAAAAACCCCAACACTGAAAATCAATTTAAATAAATGAACCTAGTAATATTAAAGAAAATAATTGTTCCAAGTGACTTCTGAACACAGTACCATGGCTATGATAGAAGGAATAGCAAAAAAAAAAAAAAACCCTAACATTCACTTTGTTCATTGTTCATAATAACACTATTGTAAACTTGTAACCTTTTCTTTTGAAATATTTTCAAACTATCAAAAAAATTGCAAATAATACAAAGATAGGAGAAATGGAAAGTGGCCGCTAGGGGGCAAAGGGCTTCTTTTTAGGTGATAAAAATGTTCTAAAATTGAACGTGGTGATTGTTGCAAAACTCTGTGAATATTCTTAAAAAACATATAATTCTACACTTTAATGTGTACATTGTATGGCATGTGAATTACATCTCAATAAAGATGTTAAATTAAATTTAAAAAAAAAGAATAAGGCAGAACTCCAAATAGCCTTTGTCATGGTTTGAATTATGTTCCCCAAAAAATGTGTGTATCAATTTGGCTGGGCCATGATTCCCAGAATTGTGTGGTTGGCCTCCATTTTGTGATTGTAATTTTATGTTAAAGAGGATTAGGGTGGGATTGTAACACCACCTTTACCCAGGTCACATCCCTGATCCAGTGTAAAGGGAGTTTCCCTGGGGTGCGGCCTGCACCACCTTTTATCTCTCAAGAGATAAAAGGAAAGAGAAGCAAGCGGAGAATGGGGGACCTCATACCATCAAGAAAGCAGTGCCAGGAGCAGAGTGCGTCCTTTGGACCTGGGTCCCTGCGCCACCAAGAAGCTCCTAGTCTGGGGGAATGCCGATGAGAAGGCTGAGAGAGAGAAAGCTTTCCCCTGGAGCTGACACCCTGAATTTGGACTTTTAACCTACTTTACTGTGAAAAAATACATTTCTCTTTGTTAAAACCATCCACTTGAGGTATTTCTGTTACAGCAGCACTAGATACCTACGACAGCCTTCATCCAGATTCCCCAATTAACATTCTACCACATCTGCCTTCTCTTTCCCTCTGTCTCTCCTGCTCTCACCTACTCTCTCTTTCTTTTCTTTCTGAACCATTTGAGAGTAGAAAGCAGACATGATTCCCCATTGCCCTAAATTCTTCAGTCTGAATTTCCTAAACAACACGGACACGCACATGCACAGCCGTAAAACAACCATCAAAATCAGGAGGTTAACACTAATTCCAACCCATTGATGCATAGACCTCAGTCACATGCTGTCCATTTCCCCCAATAATGTCCTTCATCAGTCCAGGATCAAACATTGTATTTAGCTGTCAGGTCAATCTCCGTCAACCTGGCTCTTCAATCTTTCCTTGCATGACCTTAATAATTTGAAGAGCACAGTCCAGTTACGTTGTAG